TGGCAGAAGAGTCACCTTCATCCATTGGTCGTCATTGAGAGAGGGCCAGATGTGATGTGCCTCAGTGACAACAGACTTGTCGGGCTTCAAGAGCATCTTAGCCTTCTCATTATTCACATGAAGCGCACGAAGGATCAGAATGAGTCTTGAAAAGGCAGTATACGAAGAAATACTCTTCAGCCAATCATCATAGATATTGAACAGAACCATCTGCGGTTCTGTGGCCTTCAAAATCAGATCACCAAATTTCTCTATCTTCAAGCAAGCCTGGAACGGCAGCTGCAGTTCGCTTCCCTTGATAACAATGTTCGGGAAATCCAGCAAGTGAACCTCAAGGGGATCCAACATACCTTTACGAGTAACAATAATTTGTTTTGGCTGTTCTTCAACTGGGAGAGACCGCACAAGTGCAGCAACCTCTTCAGCAGTCTTCCATTTAGCTAGCTGGCCAAGACGCTTCTGACCAGCCCAGACACTTGTATGGATAACCTAGAGGGACAAAAAGTAGTTGCTTAAGATCTCACTGCGTGTAATTAAGCTTAAACAGCAATGCATATCATGTTCTTAATGTTAAAAGTATGGGAGAGGAAGAAATACCTTCAAGAACAGCTGCCCAGTTCTCGGATTGAAAATGAAAATGGCACCATTGATAGGCTTTGTAGTTAAATTTCCTTCAAATGTCTTGTGAATTGTGACACGGTAGACATTTGTATCATCAACAAACCATATAATTTGATTGCTGAAAATTTCACCGTAGTTTTGAGAAGACAAATATGGCTCTGTAGGCTCAGACGAGTACAGCTGCAAACCTTTCCTTATCCTCTCTCTCAACACGTATAAAGCCGGATTGGACTGCAATATTCATTGTTTAAATGATACGTCACATATTTAAACCAAAAGGGCCTGCAAAAGACACTCTGATATTTAAGAACTCTAGTACCTTCATAATCTTGTTCATTGCTTGAGCAAGGAGAGGCTTTGAACCAGGGAACCAGTTACCGAAGGCAGAATGCAAGTTGTATGCCAGATCAAGGCCAATCATTACACCTGCACAGATATTGTAAGAATATAAAATATACTGCACAAAAGCAGAGAATTAACAAAACAAAGTAAAAGGAAAATGTAATAAATACCAGTTGGAGATGGATAGATGGACATGTTGTCCGTTGTATAATCCATGAACTTGGCCCTAGTATAACGCTCAATATCGTGAGAGTCATAATCTCCCCAACGAAGTTGCACATCTATCCAATACTTGTTACTAGCTTTCTGGTCGAACATATCCTTTGACTCAGCAACCAAGCTAGGCTTAGACATTGGCCATTTATGGGCAGCAAATAGAAGTACATCAGCACAAGAGCTGTTCATCTTATAACTCTTCCTCGGATGAATTGTCTCCTTCTGCACAGTTTCTATCTCCAAAGCGTCCAACTCTTGGTCCAATACTTGGCAAAGATCCATAACAACACTCTCATGGATCTTCTGCCACAAATGTGCTCGGAAGATCTGAATCAAAGAGATCTTAAGTGTGGGAATCTTTCCGTGCATAAATATTCCTGTCAGATCCAACTGCACTTGGAAACCCACATAAACATTTGCCCGATTGATTGTTGGCGACCACCAAAGCGTGAATCTTCTGTTTGGAATCTGGTTCAGACCAGACCTCTGCGCATTCGTTAGCTTCTTATATTTCATCGACTCCTCAAAACCAGATGCTTTCTCCCAGAAAAGACCCTCCCAGGTCGGGAAACTGAGTTCACGTAAAGCATGAAAATTAGCAACTTTGATGTGATGGGCTAAGAACAAAAGCTGTGAGCAACTGAACATCTTATGTTATTAAAAATTATTGAAGGACAAATGAAAAGCAGACTTACTATGTCCCCTTGAATAACGTGTGCTCAAGTATACCCTCAACACCTCCAAGGGCTTGGATGACATCAGTTCGGTAATTGTTCAAGTTCCACAACTTCCCGTCGTGCCTCTGGTGTGTCCACCAGAAAGGATTTTGTTTAAGGACTTGGTACTGTTTGAAGTCAGTCCGAACCCTCCAACCTTTATCATACGCTAGTGTGTGCCTATCCTTCTGAAACAGCGTATTGATTCGAGGAATTCCCCTATCCCAAGAGTCCTGTCACATGTTTATAAGCACACAAGTTAATATTCTAAGGGTAACATAAAATATAAAATAATCTTGCGTCTGGATCTCCAAAAGAGGACAAGGCAACACATAGATATCCCCCCCCCAAAACCCTATGTCAAGCAAACCCAAAACACTACTTCCAAGACTACCAAAAGAAAGCAGGTTAGCAAACTGATATCCATCTCAGAACTCTATAGTAAGCAAAGAGGTAACTAACACAAAAGTATGGTCCTTACTTCCAGATCTTCCAGTGTAAGACGCCTATTTTGAGCCTGTGCTTCCTGCCTCTTTAAAGCATATTCTGCCCACACACGCTGTGAATCAATGAACTCACTTTCCCATGGCTGTATGTATCGGTACAGATTTGGTATAAGCTGATCTTCCTCGTGGCTCATTCCACTCCTAAAATGGGTTACACCAACATCTGTTTGCTTACTGTACCGAAGGTCACTTTGGGGGATCAAAATATGACCCATTGACAACATTCCCAACCCACCAATTTCCTTTGGAGTGTAGAAGATAACAGGAGGAAATCTGCCAAGGAAAAGTAGAACAATTTCGTTATAGAAACACAAACAAACAGCTCTGAAATGTCAGCCATAATTCAATAAGATAGCTTCTGCTCACCTGCTAGGCATCTTTGAGTTCAAACCAATCTTAATCCTCGTTTGGATTTTATTCTCACACTTGACCAGTAGATCCAAGAGCTCTTGTGTATGCACAGTGGCTTCACGGAAGTATGTCATGAGACCTGTACGAAAAAAAAAAGGTGCTCAGCTTCACACTAGCCACACATTATAGAAAAACAACCAGTGGTGCCAACGGGGTCAGAGGATATACCAATTAGAGCTGTATTCCATTTGTTGACGATTTTGGTGAAGGTGGTTGATCCTGACGACATAAGGATCTGCCTCACACGGTTCTCGAACACCTTCATATGTTCATCATCAACTCGCAGAAAAGCAACTGCAGTCCTCTCTTTGGTCTGTTCATTTTGCAGATTCCAGACACCATCTCTTGTGTTGCTGAAAGCTTCTTGGGTCATCCTGATTTTTGGAAGTATGCGAACTTCAAATCCACACCTGCAATGCAAGAGTGAGAAAGAGTAAGTGATGTCAGTAGCATTGCCAAATTATGGTCAAAATGAAGGCCTAGCACTAACAGCAGCTGTACTGCAATAATTGAGTAAAACAATTACATGCTGAAGAGCAGGTTAGGATTATCCTTGCTATAGACAGAGACGAAGCCGTTCTCCCACTCCAAAGTTGTAATGCTCCGGGGAAGACGATTTTTCATGTCCCAGAAGACACTTCTACCAAGATTGACTGAAAGATGAATAAATAATGAGACACGGAATATAAAAATAAATTATAGTCAATCAAGTTATAAAAAGAAAGAGCATACCATCATGTTTCATCAACCTCATCCTTGCATCTCTCGGCCAGCACTTCTTATTGTTGTATCCCACCATGTTTTCATTGTTTGGATCGGGATGCTCCGTAAGATAGCGCTGAATAAGATCTCGAGCCTCTTCATGGGTAAATTTAAACATTATATGAACTTTGTCTATGTACCGAGAATACAGCCTTATGGGATGGCGTGTCTCCACTTTTGTATCCCAAAATGTCATAAACTCATTAGGCATCTGCGGTGGCCCAGCAATTTCACTCGCTCGAGTCAGACCAAGAAGCAAAAGATCAAGCAATAGTCCATAAAACTGAACAACAAATGATGCAAACTGAAGTCCCCTGATGAGACCATACGAGTTAGTATGACTCATATCCTTGTAAGATAGAACCACATTGTTCTTGGCAGACACATAATCTGCAATATTATGGTCAAGTACCAAACGAAGAAGCCTGAAAGAAACAACACAAAAATACTTATTATTCCAGAAAGACAAAGGTCAAAGTCTATAATTAATCAACCGTTAATGAAATATATACCTGTTCAACATTGTCAAATCGATCTTCTCAAAGAACTTTTCGAACTTAGTCTGGAGCATAACCACACACTGCCCATCACCTGTGTCCCATATGCCTTGCAAATTATTGATACCTTGACACCACTTATAAACCAGAAGTGGTGGCGGCTCTGAGTCTGCTGGCTTAATCCAGTTTGGAAACAAGTGGCGCTTGTCACCCTCGTACCACAAGTATTGATCGAGATAGGCATCTGTAATTTTCTCTAGAGGCTCTATTTCATAAACTGGAATCAAGTAGCTATATAGATCCATAAACTCTATGCCAACCTGCAGACAAGTATATTCACCAACAGTTTACTACAGTAACCTTGACGAAATATGTTCAATCCATTACAGAGTGAATATTCAGTTACCTCTTTGAAGCCACGCTGGGTGAGAAGATGACGTTTTATTCGTGACAGAGCTTCATGAGGATTGTCATAAGCTTGTTCAATCAGACCAAGCTCCTCTCGCTGCTGCTGATTCAACCTCACAGCTACACTATAAGATTCCTTCAATCTCTCAAGGGCCAGGATGAGCAACTTTGTGTCATGTTTGTAGGACAATGGCGGGAACGGGATTGGAGAAAACTTCCTTGATTCCAGCCAATGAACAGTAGTTGTATAAATTGCAAGTGCTTCTTCCGGAGTGACATATGGACCGTCTTTCAGGTAATTGTGCTGCCGTTCCTGTAATAGTTAACAAAGGAGAATGCATCAGAGAACTGGGAAATAAAGGATAGGGAATTAATTTGCCCACATCAATTAAGGAAGCCTCTCATAAAATTTTGTTCAATCAAAAATGATAAAGACAAAAAGACAATGTACAGACCTGTTCTGCCTTTAGCCAAAGGCGAGTCAACCTTCCGAGATTCTTTCTACAAACTGTCTTATCAACAGTAGCGCCTCTTCTGATACGCTCCCGATTGTAGTGAGCAACATTTGTCCACCAATCAGCTTTAGACTTGACATAACGGAGGATCATATTCTCAATTGGCACAGGTAACCCAGGGACCTTCCATGGGATATTAGCTTTCCAGCACCGCCATGCCTCACTAAGGTGCTGCAATATTGTCCGCGCCTTATTTTGTTTAATACCCTCTGCACATTAGCAGAAAATATTAACAAAAGAAAAAAAACTGAGAAACAGAAGGAAAAGAAACAAGTTTGAAAGAATGAAAACCTGGCATGGCATCAAGGACGTCATGCATGACAGCAGCTCGAAGCTCCAAATCGAAATGGCTTTCAACTCTCTGTTTTGTGACTGTTTTGGCCACTCCTTTCGAATGCCGCCCCTCAAATTGACGAGCAAGAAGATTCCCTAACCAACGTTCAAGAAGAGGAACAATTCCCCGAAGGAAAAACAGCCATACCCTCCACATTGGAGCCCAAAATCCACATCCTGGTCCCTTACCAACAGGACCAGTATTGAAGCGGTAATATATCAAATGCTTTAAATCCTTGCACATCCTAATTTGCCTCATCAGTCTGTATTTATAACGATACATACCCGTCAACTGGCCAACATGGGAGAAGATATATTGCAGACCATCAGCCAATTGGAAGGCATCAACATTACCAAGTCGGAATTGGACATTTGCATCAACTACAAGTTTTGTCAGTCGGAGGATCTCACGACAGAGATGAAACGCGTTACCAAAACGTGACTTCTTTCGCTCCTTGGTGGTCAAAGTTTTCACAGGCTTAAGATTGAAATTGTAGTCCAGATGCAGGTAGTTCAAGTTCTTCCTGTGAATCAACAGATTCAGCATATTATACCCCTGCCGGCAAACTTGCAGACCCACTTCAACCCAATCCAGTTCGGTACTTTGGAAAAACTTTGTAGCTGCAAGAGACCGGAACAAGTGCTTCTTTTTCTGAGCTTTAGGTGGTCTGTGGTGCAACTCATTCAGCACATAGCACTTCAAAAGCTTTTGGTAACTAACCCGAACTTTAACTGGATATGCTGGAGGACTGCAAATAATGAGTTCACAAAAGTATTAGGATACTCACTAATAAATCTGGAAAGAGAGAAAGAGACCCAAAGTAGAATCAAAAGAAATAGCTTACCAGTGCTCCTTGAACCACTCTGACACCAGGGGAATATCTTCTGACCGTCGCGTCCTCCCAGACCTCATATTGAAAGGTCGTGGGGCAAACAGCAATGAAATGCCAGCAGCTGTAGTGTCAGTGTAGAGTTGGGTGTCTCTCAGTAAAGGTTCCACACCTTCTGGTAAGGTAAAGTCATCCTCATCATCATCGTAAACCTTCCTTTCACGCCTTTCCTTATTAGTGTTGCTTATCGGGTGAATTAACGGATCATAATAAAATGCTGGAAGATCAGGATCCTCGGTCTTTATGTACATAATCATAGGACTATGATAAACACAGAGTTTTACTTTCCTAGGCCGATTGTTGTACAGATGAGGAAAAGCTATCCTGTACTCTGTTCGCAGAGGGGAACGAATGATAAGCTTGTTGATGTCATTAAACTCATTCCAGTCCTCATCCCCTTTCTCCATATCACGGTACAAAGGTTCAAACTTAGGACCACCTGGAAAAGAGTACCAGAATGCATTAGAAGAAGACCAGGAACTGAACAAAAATATCAAATCTGCATAGAAAGAAAATAGCGTACCAGGTATGCACATGTTCAGAGCCTTTGCTGTGAAGAAAGATGGCATATCAAACAAGTAGAAGTAGTTGCGATCAATCAAATCAGACAGTAACTGGCCTGCAAGCCTGTGAAGGGTTGCCATAATTGGAAGTGAGAGATTCCACCTCCGGTAACTAGGACCATTAATCAGTTTTGTTTTTACGAGTGGCTTGTGATCGTAAAACCAAGTGTATACAGCAGAATCTTCTTCCTCATCTAGCTCCAGTTGAATAGGCTCTAAAGGATCCACGTCCAACAAGTTGTCTGCATAGTCTAGTGGAGGCTCCTCATCATCAAATGGTGGAAACCGCATCCTCTTGAAATGTCTACGATCCCTCTTTTCCCTCCTCATCATTATCCACATAGTTCCCCACTGCAAAACCAGACAGAATGGAATAATCATCACTCATAAACATCTTTTGGAAATTCATCAATTCAGAGACACAGGGAAAAAAAAGAGATACTATTATCAACCCACCTGAGCCATGTAAATAGGTTCCACAACCCATGGTATCTCGTTCACAAATGTAATAGCTCCGGTGATGTGGTACAAAACCTTCACGTCTCGAACCTGGAAGAGAAAAGGGACTTAGATATATGAAGCAGATGACAAAAACAGCTGAAGCTAAGCAGATACAGCTCAAACTAAAAAGTACCTGCTCCCATGGCATAGGCATATTTTCAAGCAGCTTGAAAACAGCGTGAGGTACGAATTTAAGGGCTCCAAGGTATACACGTTTGTCGTGACGATATTTTTTCGATGACATATCACCATGATCCCTGAATCAAGAAAGAATCGCAGCATCAGTCTCGATCCAAGTAAACCATAACAAAATCATAGAAATCGGGACTCGTTTCCCAAGCAGTACCAGAAATAAATCTCTGGTTAACTGGATTTCAAGATCCGAGAGCAAGACATCATTCGAAACTAACCTGATAATCTTTCTGACGTGCTCAGGTGGCATGTCCTCCTTCTGCGTTTCCACGAATCCAAACTTCCTCTTGTCGCCGTAACGTTTCGAGTTTAGCTGCATCCACTTTCGAGCCTTCTCCTCAAGCTTCGCCTCCGCCTCCTCAGGAGTAGGCTCTACCGGAGGGGTCGGATTTGACGGCGGCGGAAGCGCCGTGTAAGAAGGGTGTGCTACGGGAGGTGGCGGCATCATCGATCCGCCGGTACCAGGAGGAGCCAAAGGCATTCCATCGTTGTCGTTGTTCCACATAGCTTCGGATTCCAAATCCAAACGCCGAGCGTAGTCGCCGAGAAAGAAACCCTAAATCCTCGACGCCAGTGTGAATCTATCTACCTTACGACGAAGAACTAGTGAGCTTAATCGAGTAAAGAAAAACCCTAAAACACGAATTGC